AGAGGATTAAGACGAGCAATCAAAATATATTGATAGTCAATAACAAAAAAGAAATTCTTTCTATGTCGGACTTTATATAATTATTATCCAGTAAAATCAACAAAATAAAAACAACATATAGAAAAATATAAAATAAAATTATTGTTGCGGGTTGGGATTTGCGTCGAAGGTGCCGACGTTGGCGAATGTGGGAAGACGGCGGACTTGCGGCCGCTTGAGATGTTGTCGGTGTTCAATGAGGTCTAGTGAGATGTGGGCGTGCCGTGGACTGTTGAGTCCCAGTTCACAATGGTCGGCGGGAAGGGCGGGAATGGCCGACACAACTGTGGGCAATCGGTGTGTGCGTATGGGGAGAGAGAGAGAGAGAGTGAGAGTGAGAGAGAGAGAGAGAGAGAGAGAGAGAGAGAGAGAGAGAGAGAGTCAGAGAGATGGGAGTGGATACAGGCCCACTTCTGGAGGGTGGATGGTGATTGGAAAGAGAAAAATATCCATAATGCCCTCGATGAATGTGAAATTTTGATGGGCGCGATGTATTCTCAGATCATTCTTGCTGGAATATAGAGTTTTTTCATTCCAACCCAAACTTTAGATATAATATAACATATATATGTAATATAAACAAATGATGATTTAAGAAAATAGCACTAATGTTTCAACAATAAGCATATGATGAATTATTAAAAAAAAAATAAAAATAAAAAATAATAATAATAATAATAATAATAATAATAATAATAATAATAATAAAAATGGAAAAATTGAGCGTTCAGGGATTGTACAACTCCCTATCTATCGTAAATTTCAATCGTGTGAAACAAGTTCTTGTGAAATAAACTCCTATCTAGCGTAAAATTTAATTGAGTGAAACAAATTCTCGTGAAAAATCTTAAGTAACGCAACACTGAACTCACCAGAAATGATTTACCCATTAAAGCATTTTATGTACAAAGGTAATCCAGAAAAGAACAATGCCAAAGGAAGCTACTGTATACACTTCTCTCCACAGCGCACGGCCAGGAAAGAAAGCTTCGCATACGACATCAAAAGCGCGAACTTTCTGGTTCGAACATACACGTATATACACTTGCATAGACAATCATATGCTTTATTTCAACCATTTTTACATCAAGACGTTCCCTTACCCGAATAAATATGATGATTTTTTCAGGCCCGATTCCTATTCGGGCCTGAAACTGACCAAGTCGGGAAGATATGTCGACTGAAGCTTCTTTATATCGCTTGCTGTCACCTTGCACGACTCAAGGGTCAGTGACTTGAGATTTTTGAGCGTCTTTATGTGCTGAAGACCAGCGCTCGTTACACGAGAGTTCGACACGTTTAGGGAGACCAATTGTGTGAGTCCTGCAGTTATTTTACAGAAATCATTTTATTTTTTAATTAGGCGAAATCTCAAAAGCCCATCACTTTCACAGCTCGATAGATAGAACTCCAAAACATATGCTTCGATAAAAATATATTGTGACTATATTGAAATAAACGACCAGGGGCAATTCGTAATTTCGTATAGGTACCGGAAATCGATTCCATGCTCTTATCCGTGAGGTGGCTGTTCTGGGAAAGGTTCAAGAGTGTTAAGGATGTAAGATCTTTGATGTTCTTAACACCTGCATCTGTTAACCCGCCTCCACAGATCTCGAGAGAACGTAAATTCTTGAAAGCTAAAATGACAAGATAGCAAACATTATTCTGTAATTTGACGAGCATAGTATAAACTTGTCGAATTTGAATAGTATAAGTTATTTTTGCATACACTTTAAATAATTGGTTCCAGAATCAGTAATCCGTGCTCCAAAGAGATCCAAATGTGTTAGTCCAGTCAAGTCTGCCAAAAAAGCAAAAGGGATTTCTTATAATCTATATGTCGCTCGTGTAGCCAAAAAAAAAATATTACAGCTGAATAAAAACTTGTGGACGAATTTGATTTGTGAAATTCTGAATAAATCTTTTTACTTGTAAGAGCAGAAAGGCCGGCATCTGTAATTTGACGAGCATCCAAATTGAGGGACTTGAGAGACGACAAACCAGACAATTTTCTCAATCCACCATCGCTCACCACAGTGAATGAAAGATTTAAACTCTCAAGATTAAGCAACCCTGCGATAAATAAATTAAATAAGTTCAATCAAAAAAATTCACAATCTCATAAATATATATATATTAGAAAAGAAAATGAAATGAAGTCTTTATTATTCTGTAAAAGTTCATAAATCATGTCTAACCAGAAAGATGATGTAACCCGTTGCTTCCAACTTCAGTATCAGACAACTCCAAGCATTTCAGACGAGATAAACCTGAGAATTACGTAAACGATAAACCAAAAATCACTATACGCCAGTAAAAATGAACATATGTAAAAAAGTTAAATGATAGCACAAAACAGGCAAATGTTAAATTAACCTGC